AGATGCAAACCGAAGTCACGTTATTTCAATTCAAAAAATTTCCCCCGAAAAGTGTTAGATAGATGATCGGCACGACTGTATTGTTAAACGAAAAGTATGATGTACAGTACAGGGACAAAACACTACTAATTTGAAGTGGAGAACATATATTTTAAATTAAAAATATGATTAAAAATTGCAGTCAGGCATTGTGATGATGTCACAATAAAATAATTGCTGGTTATTTTTAAATCTTTAAAATATTGTAAAATGTTCGGCAATAAAAACATAAAAGCACAACGTATTTATATAACAGTTTAGTATAAAACTCATATTTTAAAATCTACAACAATCCTGTCGCCTCCTTTCAGGTATACTAGTGATGCGACAAAAGGGGCATTTGACATTGACCGGTATCGGCACCCTGGGGATTTGGCAGCCCGCGTGCATGCACTTACCAGGACCGTCTCTAATTCCATCCATTAGCCACTCGTAGGCAGCTACTGTAGAAAAACATTTTAATTTTTCTCTTTTAAATGTAGTATATTTAGGTTATTTATTTATTTATTTCCAAAAAGATCAACATGGCATTAGAAGTGCACATGGTTGTATCCATCGTCTTCCTTACTGTAGGTTCCGTAATGGTATTTGTAGGATTGGTTCTATATTGCTTGATCAAACCCGATCTTTACGATCGGTTAGTGACGTCGGTTGTTCCGCCACCCCCGGCGGAAGTTCCAAGCGCAGCTTCTCCTTCAGATTCGGATTTAATGCGCTATAGCCCCACTTGGAAAGGTATTAAAATATATAAGGGTCGTTGGGACTGAATATTTCGTTAAACTTGTCTTTTATTTTTATGAAATTTCATTTTTCATGCTATTGTTTTGCTACAAACTTGCAACTGTTTAAAATTATATTTGGCTCATTAAATTTAAATATTTTTCTTTCGTTATGAATCGGGTACATTTTTTCTGTTTTCGTCATCCGACATAACTGTTATAAACATTATTATTAATTATAAATTCATCAAAAAATGCGCAACTTTAATAAATATAGAATCCGTAAACATTTAATATAAAATTTAATTAGTTTTATTAAATATAAAAATTTATGTACACATTTAATCGTTGAAGTAATTATGATTGTGGAGTACACAAACCGAAGTACGTGTATTTATTGGTTTATTTAAATTCGTTCGGTATGCCTTTTAGTGGCGAATATTCGTTATTTCGCGGTGAAAGTTTTTAGCAGTAGAACACCGGATGAAATACAGTGTAAATGTCTGTAGAATATAAGTCGTTTTGGCCAGTTATAGTCGTATAAACAGCCTTTAATTAAACATCAGAACACTACTTGATGTCACTGTCGTTGTTCTATATGCTCTTTAACCGAATCTCGAATGGTGTCGAAGTATCCTTCCGTAAATTGGGATAGAAAGTCAAATACAGTCGATTACGTCGTAGCCAGGTGAAAAATCAATTCCTGTGAGTGTCATATTCGGGTGAGAGGTCACTTCCGAATGGCGTTGTTACATTCGGTGGAAAGTCGATATCTGCGCAACAAGGCCTGGCCAGAGAAGAGGTTTATGTCTTCCAGCAGCAAAACAACCTTTTCCTTCAAGGCCTTTTACGCTCGACGGACTCTTCGGACTCCTTTCTGCCCACTCCGGTCTCACTCGACGATGTCTCCACCGTCCATTCCGGAACCTCCGGATATCGCCCCTCCAGATATTGGACGAGAGACGAGGCGGTGTCGTCCGGAGTTACGACCACCACCCGTTTGACGTCCGGTGTATGACACTTCTCCTGCGCATCTTTCGGAAGCACCCTTATGACACCTGGCCAAGACCAGGCGTCATCCTCGGACTCTGCATTGTCCGGGATGCGCAACTTCTTTAACTCTCTGAAATTCTCCATTCTGCAAAGGAAAATGAGAGGATTGAGAAAAATTCCTATTCTAATTCAAAAATGATTAATTCGTGTTAGAAAATATAATAATTTTAATTTTTTCGACGATTTTTAATGTACGATAGAGGAATTAGTTTATAAAAATTGTACTATTTTGTTGACTGCCGTAACAGAGAACAAATGCGAAAATAGAGCAATTATTTTAATTAATTAAGATTCAGACGAATTTCATATGCTATATTAATATATAGACTATACGTATGTAATTTATAAACTATAACGGGGAATAACAGATATTAAAGTAGGCTATTTATTAATTTTTACTTTGCCATTGGAAACTTAACAATGGAAAGATGCGAAATCTCTGAAGGAAACCGATGGCCGCCAACTGTGATATTTTGCTGATCAAAGTTAAAGAGTATTTAAATCTACAAAGGTCGTAGTGTAAACTTACATCATTTTAAACAATCTCTGCAAACGAAGCAAAACTTGAAAAAGCACTCGCATTAAACAATCGCACGAGTCAACAATAGATTTTCTCTCAACAACGAGAACATTTTATTGTTGCATAGTGACTCGATTTAATGTTATAAATTTGCATTTTGCGGCCAATTTCGTCATTTATAAAGACATTTCAAAATGTCTTTATGAAGTGAGTGATTTTGACGGATCATTGCACGAGTTTGTCTCACAGGGCGGACAATTAAAAAAAAAAAAAACAAATTTTACACGCATGCTTTTGACCATAAATTTTAATTTTGTAAATGAAAAGTTTAGTTCCAAAGTTTTTTTACAGGGAAAAATTCGCTGAAATTTGCATCTGGGGTGCATATAGAATAAAGATTGGAGCCGTCACGTGATACAGCAATGACGTTATGTTTCCTATCACGAAATTCATCTCTTTATTAAAATCCGAATTTCGTAATAAACCAAAAAAGTTTAACATTATCTCTGTTAATAATAATAAAGATAAACCTGTAAACGTAAATTGCAATTGTTGTATTCACATCCCGTTAATTGCTAAAATAATATTAATATCATTAAACATTTGAGTAAAAATTAATAAATATTTTTTTATATTACTAACATCGTTAATTAGATAATAATTAGATAAATCGAGTGAAAGTTCGTAATAACACGTGAGTATTATGCAAATCAGTTAAACATAATATAAGAGTAAAAATTCAAGTTTCAATTTACATTTCTTGCTCATCGAATTTGATTGGATTTTAATCTTTTAAATAATCTACAATCATGGCGACTATCGAACAAATAGAAACTTTTAGATATATTAGAGGTAATGTCGATAATTTATTTTGATTTTCATTAATTTTAATATTAGTTTACATTCATAAATTAGAGTATAGAGTATAATATTAATGGTGAGTTACTATCTGTTNTAATTAAATTTACTTGTAAATGATGCTACCGAAGTAAAAACGTTTTTAAAAACAAGAAAATTTAATATTTTAAAATTATATGTAAATGCACCATCTTGCCCCACCAGTGGGATAAGGTTTCATATACAAGAAGCACAAATTAAAATTGTTAAACTGTCGTTTTCTTCAATATTGGCACAAGAACAGTGTGCCCATTTATTACAACGGCTACATTTAGCACAACTCTCTGTAGATACAGAGTATAACCCTCCACAATAGAGGCAATCTATCTCATTTGTCTTGTTTCTTGTTAGGCCTAATCTTGCTGAAGGGGCCCGTTTGTCGTCTCTGCAGCAATAAAGTCTGCCTCCGAAAATATTTCTGCATTCATCGGCCATATTCATGGTCAATCTGGGGCTAGACGGATACCCCATCTTGCCCCCAACGTACACTTTTCATACTGACTGCAAACACAGGTAAACTTCATTTCAAAACTAAACAATTACAGTCTTAAACGTTACTTCGAATACCATAATATCTTCTTTTACAAAGTAATGTAAAAGTTCACAATGATACTTACTTTGTAGAAACTTTTTAGCAGGCGTAAATTTAGATGAAGTACTGTATTGCTGTAACATGAAAAACGTGTCTTACTTCCAAATAAAGAGAGCTATTTGAACGTTCTCTCGCTCCATGATCCATTTCGAAGTAGACATTTACTTCCTCAAATAACAACTAGATAAAAGCTCATTAACCACAAATAAACAGACGTCCCCGTCTATCACCATGACCACATCTTGCACCACCTTCCCCTATATATATTCCGCTACAGAGATTTTTGTTAGTTGAACTCCTCGTAGATTTCTTGGCGAGTTTGAACGAATTAAGTATTGATCACATGTGCAATAAGTTTTTTGTTTTCGTATCCGATGATCCGTTCCAGAGATATTAAAAATTTTCTAATCATTTTGTACGGAGTCGAAAAAAATTTTTTGCAAGAATTTAGTATCGGCTTTACCGAAGAGTTATCTCTGTATGCAGTTTACGAAAAAAAACACTGGTCCTTTGACGTTTAAATGTCTTCCTAGG